CAAACGTGCAGCAGGCAATGTCTGCAGTGCGAGCGGGAATAGTGCTCCCTCGTGCGTGCGGGAAGAGGAGTGGATCAACCAGCTGTCCTGCAATTTTTTGTTTTTTTTTTCCGGATTCTGGCGCACAGAAGCGAGAGCTCCAGCCGGCCTTGGCCTGCTGACACGCGCGGGTTGAAACGCGCGCGGCCCCAAAGCGAGAGAGAACGGGGAGAGCGGGAGAACGCTGCGAGCAGAAGCTGGCCCCGCAGCCCACGTGGGGATGGCCTACCCAGGCGACGGAGCCGCCGACAGTGGCCGGTGCGTGGGCCAACCTCTGCAAAATAATGAATGGATACGCTTTGACATCTATGACACCAAGACAAACCCGATTGCATCGAAGAGCTCCTCATGAACATGAGGACGCATGCTGTCATGCGAAACCTGCTTCTGCAACCGAGAAAACGGGTACGCTGTGCTCGCTCGGAGCTGCTACCCGGAGAAGAGATGTGTGGTGCACACACGTGGGTGAAGGCTTTGCTGCCTCCTTGTGATCATCTTCTCCCAACAACCCTCCGACAGCATACCCGGCATGCCCAAGGTGCTTGACGTAAAAATTCAAGTACTGGATACCCTCAGTCGTGTGACCATGGGAAACTTTGATCTGCACCTTTCCGAACTTTACCCAATTCGGCGTTTCGTGGATGTGGCTGCGAGCTTTGAAATTGAGTCCGCCGATGTGGGTCTTCTCCGCCCACTCTCCTGTAACGTTCAGCTCTTGAAAGTACAGATCCGCACACTGTCCACCCAATCGATGTGCGTCAGCCTGTACACGAAGCAGCGCATTCTGGGCAAGCTCTCCCCTTGGAATTTGAATCAAGACGTGCTTGCCAGACCTCATCAAGTCGAAACGCTCGCCATGCACGTTTTGCAAATGCGGATCGCCAGTGGCAGAAATTGAACCCTGTTGGGGGGAAGGAGCCAGGGTCGGGGCCTGCGAAGGAGCGGAGGTCGGTGCCGGTGTAGGAGAGCACACAAGGACGAGCTCGTTCCACTGATCATCCGGCACCCGCACGAAGGTATTCGCATAGTCGCAGTGCCAGAAGTATGGATCAAATACGGTAGCTGCGCACTTCTGGAAGAAGGCTGATCGATCAGAATTCAAAGTAGGCACAGCAACCGAGAACTCCGCTTCCGTAGCGTAGCGCAACTGAGGACAAAACCCGGCATGCGAGGAAACATCCACTTGGGAACACCCGCCAGAGCACGGAGAAGCCCATAGGAAACAGAGGCCGTTGACGTAGTAACAATAGTCATCCACTGTTGTTGACCCAGGGTCTTTGCGATGTGTGCCTGAGGCATCGTGCTTCCAGCAAATATTCCAATGCGACAACTGCGTCTTCCCCGTGAATGTGATGTCAGATTTCGGTGTGACCAATGGGGCTGGGTACGTATGGAACGGGTCCACCGATGCGATGTCGACATCGTAGCCCGAATCGGTGCTGGCTAGCTCAATCGGCACTGACACGTCCACCATCACTGTGCAGGTGCCCATGCCTGAGCCGGAAATACATTAATCTTCTAAGTTGCATTGCATCTGTCCGTGCGTGCTGATTCCTCGCAACCACTCATGGTCACCCGTCGCAACCTCGCCGACGCTGTGAACACCCAGCTGCATAGCTCTGGCGTCGACGAGCACAAAGACAGCGGCCTGGACGTAACCGATACAGCGCACGCTAATGTCTAGGAAAGAAGTGTATGCTTCGGTGTGCAATCGTCAGAGAATGCGCGTGGTCAAAACTTGGGCTCTAATCGCTACGGAACCCCCTGAGGAGGAGGAGGAGGAGGAGGAGGAGGAGGAGGAGGAGGAGGAGGAGGAGGAGCAGGAGGCGGAGAAGGAGGAGGAGGAGCCTCTTGGAAGCCTCTTGGGGCTTGGCTGGCGGGTCGGCGGCGGAGTTGCCGCTCCTGGGGCTCGCCTGGGGGCGTCTTGGGCCCTTTCGCGGGGCCTCTTGGCCCGTGGCCGTCTTTGGGCTCTCCTCGGGGTCACTGGGGCCGTTTGGGGGCCGCCTGTGGGCGTCTTGAGCCGTAGGGAGCTCAGAAAAGCGAGAACGCTGAAATTTTGTATTATTTCTACTGCCTTCTTCAGCGACTCCTGGGGGCTCTTCGAAAGCTTTTGGAAGCCTTTTTGGTTAATCGAGGGTGCCTCTTCGGGCGTCATGGGAGCCTCTTGGGGCCTCTTGGGGCTGCTTGGGACGCCTTTGGACGGCATCCTGGCGTTCTGGTGAGGGTCATGCGTCAGCCCCTGCAGCGAAGGCAAAAAAGCGGCATGGCAAAAGTCATAGATTTCCACAGGTGTTTGGAAATCCTTGGCGCTCTCGTCGGCGGTCTTGGGGGGCTCTGGGAGGCCCCTTGGCGCTTTCTTGGGGGCTGATGCGGGCTTCTTGGGCCGTCTGGAGGCTCTCGTGAGATGACTTAGAGCACTCTGGCCTGTGTCGGAAGCGTCCCGAGGCACTTGAAGCCCTTCTGGGGCGTTCTTGGAAACCCAGGAAGGAAGCACCAGAGGTTTGTCGCAGATGCCGGGGTGCGATTGGAGGTTCTCTTGGGCCGCCTTGATGGATGTCCGGCGCCTCTCGAGAGCGATTTCGGGTCCCCGTTGAGGGCGTGTTGGGGCTTCGCGGGGCCTCGTGCGCGCTTTGTGGGCGCGTCGAGGGGCCTCTTTGGGGCGATCCGGGAGCCTCAGCAGTCCATCGGAGGCGAAACGGCCACAAGGTAAAAATCACTGAGTAATGCTTTTGGCTTGTCGGTGGTCTCCTAGAGAGCTTCCTGGGGCCCTCTGGGGCTGTCTTGGACGTGGCATCCTGGGGCTTCTTGGGGCCTCTTGGGTGCCTTCCGGGAGCGTTAGGCCGCCTGGAGACCCCTTCTTTGAGCGTCTTGAAGTTATCTGACGCTGTCTTAGGTTCTAGCGACGTGTCAGCTGACGTGCTTGGCGCGGCGCGAACGTACAGAACCAGACGTATGGCAAGTGCCACGGCTTGGACCGAAACACTCGGGCCAAAATGGCTACGGAAGAGTTCTCTGGGGAATCTTTGGGGGCTCTTGGCTCTTCTTGAGGCATCGCGGGGGCCTCTTGGGGACCGTTGTTGGACCTCTTGGGAGCTGTTTTGGGGCCTTCTGGGGCGTCGTGGGGGTCTCTTACGGCCTCGTGGGAGGCTCTCGGGGCCCTTTTGGGGCGTCCTGGGGGCCTCTTGGGGCGAAGACTCGAATTTTCGGTTCATGTTCCCTCTCTTGAGCCCTTCTTGGGGCCGTCTTTGGGCCCTCTTGGGCCGTCGTGAGCGCCCCTGGGCCCGGTTGTGCCGTCTTGGGGCTCTTCTGTGGGCCTCTTGGCCCGTCGTGGGGGGCCGTCTGCGATTACCTGAAACTCGAAAAGTGGAGGACTCCGAAAACACTGAAAACCTACAGAAATGAACGATTTGTGGCTCCCCGGGCACTCGTCTCGGGCTTCGGGCGCCCACGGAAGCCTGCCGGGGGCCGTTCTGGCTCGGCCTGGAGCCTTCGGGGTCACAGTGCATCTTCGGCGCTCTCGGGGTGTGATGGACCGGCTCGGTAGCCTATCGTACAATTTTTTGGGCTATCTGTGCGCCCGCGGGGCCACTATGGACTGGAGGCCGCGAGGGCGCACGTGGGGCGCCCGGACCTCCCATGCCACTTCGGGGCCGTGGCTCCTGGCCCGCCCCTGGCCTACTCCGAGATCGATCTGGCTGGAGACATGCCGCGGGAAGATGGGATCTCGGGCTCTGGTCGTGATTTGGTGCGCTATTGGAACTTGTTCGCAGCGTCGTATCCCATGTCATGGTACGTGGGTCACCGCGGGGTTTGCGAAGTGGATGCTGGGGCCACAAATGGATGCGAGGATTGGGTACATCTGGCCTGACAGAGCGGATGGGGGAGGTGTAGGGCATTGGCTCTGGATGGTCGCCCCGCGGCTCCCCTAGTTGCGCCCCTGCTTAGCTTAGCTTAGCTTAGCTTAGCTTGGCTTAGCTTATCTCATCTTCGCTGAGCTTAGCCTAGCCTACCTTGGCTTAGCTTACCTTAGCTTATCTCATCTTAGCTTAGCTTAGTCTAGCCTAGCTTAGCTTAGCTTAGCTTAGCTTACCTTAGCATACCTTAGCTTAGCTTAGCTCAGCTCAGCTTATCTTAGCTTAGCTGTGCTTATCTCATCTTAGCTTGGCTTAGCTGTGCTTATCTCATCTTAGCTTGGCTTAGTTTAGCTTAGTTTAGCTTGGCTTGGCTTAGCCTAGCTTAGCTTTGCCTGGCCTCGCCTTGCTTAGTTTATCTCATCTTAACTTAGCTTAGCTTAGCTTACCTTAGCTTATCTTAGCTTACCTCATCTTAGTTTAGCTTAGCATAGCTTAGCTATCTTAGCTTAGCTTAGATTAGTTTAGCTTAGCTTATGCTGTTGTCCTAAGGGCTCAAACTCCTAGGTAGGGTCGCACTGGGATAATTAAAACATGGTCCGCACGCGGAGCATGTATTAAAAACTGTACCATTCTGAAGTAGTCCTCCTGGAGAGGCACAGGCCCGACTTCAGCCTGCGCCCAGCGCCGCAGCCTGCGGGCCGCGCCGGCGCCCCGCGCGCAGCGGGTGGCCGAGGGCGCCGAGCATGGCCAGCGCGAGGCCCCCGAGGCGGCCGCCGCGCGGCGCCGCGCCTCGGCCGAGGGCGCCCGCAGCCCGCGGCGGGGC